GCACTTTTACTTTCGCCCTCTGGGGGGAGCCTCGCTGGAAAATCAACACCGGTTGCATAGTATACCTTTAAAACCTTAAAGAATGCTAAAATACATTGTATAAAAAAAAAGAAATGGAAACATTTTACATTCACTCCATTGTATTGCGTCACGTCATCATTAGACATGCTCAGAGCAGTCACAGTAACGTCCAAAAGGCTATTTATTGAATGTTTTGCTTTTTCTCACTATTAGAATATGCAATATTTACGCAAATACAAAAATATTTGAAAGGAACCCCCTGCCGGAAAATGAAAAAAGAATAAAAAAAGTAAGAAAACAAAGTATTGCCTCCCTAGAAGTTATTCTGTTCACGCATGCTCAGGACGGATTGTGCTTCCGGGACGGATCGGGTAGTGACAGCAGCAAACACATTCAGGGAATATCTTAGTTCGTACAGGTTCAAAACACCAAGTTTCTAAAAATTTATGAGAATTTCAAGAAAGAAAAGTAAGCAAGGCAGAGCGAATTCCTTAAATATTCAAATGTAAGAGGAACATTCTCCATTTTTAAAGATTTTTGTTCAAAATAAGAAAATAACTGTTTGCTACTAGTTTTTAAAGCAGTTTACCAACCAATGACTTCACAAATACTTTAATAAAGTTCAGCACGATCTGAGCCAAATCTCCACTGATTAACTGGGCCTTTTGGTAGCTGACAAAGTTCAGCACAATAGAATAGAATAGAAAATCCCTTTATTGTCCTGCAATGGGGAAATTCAGGGTTTTACAGCAGCAAAAAGATTTTAGAAAAAATGGTCACACAAATGTGGTCCTTAGAAAAATGTATAATAACATTTTAGTGAATAGTTAAAAGATAAACAAATGAAATACTGTACTGTAAAGAGTTTTAACAATTTAAAAACTGTGCACCTGGAGAATAAATAACCAATATCCAGCTATGGCCATTTTTACAGTCATGGATATTTGAAAATAGCAGCAACATTAGAGACGAGCAAAATGGCAGCAGCGTGTTATTTAACTGAGGGCCCTGTCAC